CGGCGCGCCGCGGAGTGGGGGCGGGCCTGAAGAGGCCCAGGGAGGGAGGGCACCGAGACGTCCACGCCTCTCAACGCCCCCCCCTCCCCCCCCCAGCTCTCGCAGGCACGCCGGGCCGCTCGGGGTGCCGGAAGCCCTCCGGGCCCCGGGCCGGGCCAGGCGGGTGCTGGCCGGGGGTGGCAGTGTGCGGGGCCGGGGCGGTGTCGGCTGGCCTCCGAGCCGCAGGCCCTGGCCGGCTGGAGTCCAGTCGCAGGTTATGCGGCTCAAGTGCAGCGCGCACCCAGTGGAGAGCTGTGGTCCCAGGCCCGACCGGCAGGTCAGAATGAAAGGGAGGCGCAATGCAGGGCTCTTAGGGCACCTGGCAGCCGCCTCTGTCTAAGGCCATACCATCCTGATCGTGCCCTATCTCCTCTGATCTGGGAAACTAAGCATGGTCGGGCCTGGTTAGTACTTGGATGGGGGACCGCCTAGTAGTTAGGCGGTTTTTTGATTTTTCTGAATGCTTGTTTCAGTAAGTTAGAATTGGATGACTGCAAACAATTAAACTAATAATATTTTAATACATAATGTTAATAATACAGAGTTGGTCATTCTTTTTCCTGTTCTACTACAGCTAACTGGAAGTCAGTTTCAGTAAGTACTACTAACCTAAGACCCTCATCAGTAAGTGAAGATATATCAGAAAACCCATAATATATCTAAAAAACATCAAAGATACAATGATGATAAAAAAAAAATTCAGTGACATCTTAGTTGGTATAAGAAACATGATGATTATGAAAGCACAGCCCATAATCAAGTACAGGCCATGGAAGCCTGTGACTGTCACGAGTGTTGACTTCTCTTTCATCTGAGGTTGTAAAAAGTGCTTCGTAAAATCCTGAGGTTTGAAGCACTTGTAACCTCCTAAAGAGACTGCAATCAAAAGGGTTTCTAGAATATCCTGATGCTGTGGTGAGCTCAAGCAATACATACTCCAGAGGACAGAAGACAGACATGTTGGGAAGTGGGGATGACTTCTGCACTTAGGGAGAAAGGGCATGTTGCTACTCAGCCTAGTACAAGTGTAGAAGCAACATCTCAGTGACTGAACCTTTAAAGACTCGATAAAAATGACGACTGGTAGGAATAAACCTTCAGAAGTGCCTTCACAGACCTCCTGTCATCAGCACAAGCATAATAAAAACACTGAGTTTTCATGGTCTCGCACAAAATTAGACTCACTTATGACAATGGCCGGAGAGGCTCCTATAAGACATCAGGGCTGGGCTTTACTGTAGGATGAACATCGGTTGAGTGCATCGCTATGTGTTATGGAAATATGTGTTATTGGCAGGGTGAAGGCATATTCTTGAATAACACAGCAAATAACACTACAAATTCAAGGAACATGGATACAATGACAATAGCTCATTTCATGATGGCTACTAATTGGTAGAGCTAGGATTGCCTCTCCCATTAAGTACCTCAATGGCGAGCTGTGATAGTAGCCATTAGTTTCTCACTGGAATTCTCACTTAGAAACCGAACCTAATACTTGCCATGTTGACTAGCACAAGAACAGTGAAAGCTCCTTGTAGAAGCAAGTCAGACAGACATGCTTATGTTTTATCACAGAAGCTGCTTATGACTGGTCCTGCTCACAGACAGATTGCTAATTCCAAATTTATAGACAGTTATGCAGATATTCTTTACCAACTGAGCCACCAGGGAAGCCTTAATATCTCAGTTGTTAAAGAATCTGCCTGCAATGCAGGAGACCCTGCTTTGATTCCTGGGTCGGGAAGATCCCCTGGAGAAGGCATAGGTTACCCACTCCAGTATTCTGGCCTAGAGAATTCCATGGACTGTATCGTCCATGGGGCCACAAAGAGTCAGGCACGAACTGAGCCACTTTCACGTTCACATGCAGATATTACTAAAAAAAAAAAAAAAAATGTGGTAACAGATCTAGTACCTTTGTCAGGCTAATGAGTGAGTAATATAAATATGAATAATCAACTTTGTCCTGCATAATTATTACCATCCTATATTTGCTTTGAGAGGAGTTGAGCTACTCTTGTTAAAGAGGAATGTTTCTTTACCAACTGAGCCACAAGGGAAGCCCACTAATACTGGAGTGGGTAGCCTATCCCTTCTCCAGCGGATCTTCCTGACCCAGGAATTGAACCAGGGTCTCCTGCCTTAGTAACACATATTGGGTAAAAATTGGTGAGGGAGCATAACTATTAAAATTGATTGGCAAAATCAGTTTTCCTTGTCTAGATGGCTAGCGGAGGAGAAATAAACATTGGCATGAATTTTAAAATTTCTTCTGATACTATATATATAAAATTTACTAGTTCTTTGCAGAAGTCTTTAATGAAGCACAGATATTTTCATTAGATTGCTTTTGTCATATCCATCTTATCAGCACTTATTTTTTTAAAAAATCATGTATAGTTGCTTAAAACAGTTGAAGAAATTACAAAAGATGTATTTGGTCTCCATTCTAAACTGGATCGTAAGAAGGCAGTTGATCAGCATAATGCAGAAGCTCAAGATGTTTTTGGCAAAAACTTGAATAGTCTGTTTCATAATATGGAAGAATTAATTAAGGATGGCAGCACGAAACAAAAGGCCATGCTAGAAGTTCACAA